ACATGTAACTTTTCTATGAATGTTGCTGCTATTTAATTTATGTCTGGTCCGTACGCTTCTGATTGAAATTTCAGAATATGAAGTCCTCAATACACACAAATACAGGCCCCTGCGTCGGCCACAGGCACCTCAAGTACGGTTCAAAGTTGCATAACATCCTAGTTCTCGTGTCGAGCGGAAAGGCATGCAAGAGATGTATAGAACAGAAAGAAGTGTTAATTTATTTATGTTCCATGTACAAGGAAAGACCTCTTGTTTATATAGAAGAAAGAAAGCAAGGAAGTACGCTGGTAAGTAAGAGAGAGAGAAACTCGTAACAGGATACCTAAATAATAAGATAGAACCTAGGGCAACGACGAAGAAGCGCACGAAACCATTGTCCAACAAGATTTCCGATGTTCCTGTGACTGAGTCGTTCGATACCGCCCACGTGGTTGGGTACAAAGGTTGCGGACGTCTATTGACCCGGTTCTAACTTGTGGCTGGTGAGGCTGAACAAGAAGTGTTTTGACGGAAAGTGACTCCCATGACGCCTTCATGAGGTCACATTACGCAAGCCTACAATGTAGTTGTTGTCATACTGTTGGAGTAGAAGACCTGTGAGATAGACCTACGGTTCTTGGGCAACGGATATGCGAGGTCCGAGTGGGATACAGAACCCCTTACCGAGAAAGAAGGGAGATGGTTGGTTTCTTGCCCGCGAAGAAATGATGATCAATACTATGACGATGAAAATACCGGTGAGCCTGGGAAGACCAAGAGGAAGAGGAAGAGGAAGAGGATGAAGGTAACCCAGAAAGGGTTGGTAGTAAGGTGTCGAGAATCTTGAGCAAAAATTTGGGCAAAATAAATAAAGACGGCCGTGATTCAGAGCTGGAGCAGAGTAGTAGTTACGCAGATGGTTAGTTAACTTGAAGCGATGCCATTCACACATAAATCCAAGACAAAGAGACGCTGTTTAAGAGAGTGGTATGCTCTAGTTTTAAGAAGTGCTGGTTCGATCTTGATCCCGTGTCGGATGACATGCAAAGTTGGAACGATCGCGTTGTTGGCACGCATTTTACAAACTCTCATAAAGAGAACGATCCCTTACTAGCAATGAGTCGACCTAAGCCTATCTTATATGGGTGTCGGTCTGCTCTTGAGTCATTGCTAGTACTTGCTAGAGTGATGCCCAAGATACTCAGTACGTCTGACAATCCGGTGTGCTGGCTGATCAGGTGCTGAGATCACTGGTGAATCGTTTGCAGTAGCTTCAAAAGACGCCAATAGACTGTTTGGAACAGAGAGTCTTGGGGCAAAGTCTAATAACGAGGCTCCGTCTTGCAGCTATCGGATTGGGAGAGGTGTTAGAATAGGCCGAAGTTGGGTTTCTTTGTGCGGCTTTCTTTGGCCCTTCCTCATGGCGTCTTCGATACTGGACACCTTTCTAGGTCTACACGATCGGCCTCAATTAAAGATGAAAAGAATGACTTTTGGCGTCTTTTACTCCAAAAGCTGCTTGATTGACTGCCCTCTAAGCAGACAACACCCATGCTTGCTTTTCAGCTCGGGCATGTCTCCTGAAAACGGTGTTTACCGTACATGGGCGGTCACTCCTCTGCCATGACCAACGCCTTACCTTGACCTGGTCTAGGCGCAGCAGTAGGTAGTCTTCGGGGAAAGCCGAAGCCTTGTGTACTACCGACTATTCGAGAAGGATACGAATGGGTGAATAAGCGACTGGAAGGAATCTTCAGTGGGGCCCATGCTATCACGCCGCTTTACAGCAACAAAGGAAGATTTGGCTGCATATCGAAATCTTACCAAGCGGTGTGTGCGCAGACTACTTTGCGGACACATGTTACCGCAGACTCCACATCATGGCATGCACGCGCCTCAACACCAACACAGAAAGCTCACGATAGTGCGGTTTATAACACCCGAGGCTCGGGCGAAGCTGATACGAGGGACCAGCTTCCCGAGGTCTCATCGACAGGTACTGCCGCCCCCAGCCACGCACGCTAGTCCTGACCATGGTGTGATACCTGCGCCAAATGCGAAATTCCTGCTAGTAAACGGAAAAAACTTTTTCTCCATGTTTTTGTGTACAAACTTCCTGGCTGTTGGTGGGCCGGGCATACTAGGCGGAAAATTCTCCGTAGGAAAACTGACAGAAAACGTGGTTGTGTAAGGAGATACGTCGGACTAGGATCTACCCAGCTGGTGCAGATGGTACGCTCTAGAAGTTCTCTTCCGTCAAATTTTCGCTGCTTTGCTCGAACGACTTCAGGGCTCCTTTCTTCCGTGCTAGAAGTTTCCTGCACAACATGTGCTGCCTCGGTGCGGGTCGGCGCGAGGTTCTGAGCGGATCCGTATGCACAATCAGTTTTGAGCTTGCTGCTTTTGGAGGCGTCGGCCGACACAACAACCTGACGGTTGCGTATCGGGTTTCGAGATCTCGTTGTTGTGTCGAAGGAAGCTGGCAACTTGAATCAATGATACGGAACACCGTATAGTGAAAAGGGAGTGCTTGGCAATCCGCGGAAGCCGTTGACCAAGCGATCGACATGAAACCTACCGATCTTGGTAAGGTCGTAGATCTTCTGGACTGGAAGGACAAGATTCCGCTCCCGGCGCGCGAGGAGGGCGTGTCCGAGTCCGAGGAATCCGGCTTGACAGCGAACATGTCATAGACCCTGGTTCCCGCCCTGACCGTTGACGGCATCATCATGGGAACCAGCTTATCGAAGCTGGCAAGTCCAGACCTCGATCAGTGAACATTGCTGATGATGCAAACGACCTCGGAGGGGAAGGAACGGTTATCGCAAGCTTTAGGGGGAGGGGGAAATGAGGAGATGACCATGGCTGGTCACAACTACTGTATGCACGTGGCTGATGATGTGGCTCGATTATGCTTATCTTATCACCGTCTACTATGTCCGCTCCGCCCCAGATGATCAACAACAAATCATAGTCCGTTCTTATTGGCAAGGTATCGACGATCATTCTGTGTTCTCGTAGGCCAGCTTCCTAGGCGGCCCATACTTATATCGGCGTGAGCTGAGTGAGAAGTGTTTATCGCGGAATCTGATTACAGACGAATGACATCAGCAATAGGCATTGATTACATGTGTTTGGGTAAGTTTGAGTGACAATGTGGTGTTTATCGAGCAGCACCCAGGACGTGCATGCGCGGATCATGTTGGCGTAGATGATCTGATCGTCAGATCGGGGCTGCCTGAGGCGCGCCCTGTTTCCCTGTTTGAGCACCAAATTCCTTGATTGGCAATAAAGGATCAGGAACAAACAGACATAAGGCGTTGCCAGGGAAGACGCGGCACAGAAATAAACAAGCAGCTGAGTTGGCATGCCAGCTCAGCAATAATGACCATGACACGTTATGGCAACATGCTCCAAACTTGAGAAGCAGGGTCTTGCTTCCTGTGAGCGGATTGCTTAGAGCGAGCTACGCGCGAGTTAGATTCGTACATGTCTCACCAAGACTCGCGAACCACAGCGCAGCGTTGCATGCCGGACTAAACTGAGGCCGCCAACGGACGTGTGTAGCAAAAGCAAATCGTCGATGGTTGTACGAATACTCTGCATCTGAATCGTTTCGTTGACCAAACAAATCGAAACATGATGAAACTCGAAGATGTTGCGCATAGACATGTTTGGTGTCGATATTTGGTACCGACTTTGACCTGAGATTTGATCATTTCAAATGCCATGCTGATGTTTCGAGACGACCGGTCAGCCCCGGTATCGCCGCGACACGGTGGGTGGAGCGTGGGGAAAAGGAGAGATCAGCGCTGTAACTTCCGCCTACAACTTGTGACAGTGTGGAGACGGGAGACCATGCTCAGATCAAATCTTGCGAGGGTCCAGAAGGTCTCGACAAGTGGGTTCTGCGACGGGATGCCATGGTCCGCTCATCAAGACAACTGTCAAGTGCATCGAAATGAGAGTGTGAGTGGATAATGCGTATCCGCGTGAGACGGATCATGGCTCCCTGATGATCCGCTCCATGGTCTGGCTCACATGCCCGCGTTTCGACCGAGCGGAACAAAACGTGACCGTCCGTACTGCGAGCTCCTGTTGTGTCCGATCGGGCACGTTCAAACTCCGAACATCCCACCCGCATACGTATACGCATACTTTTCGGACAAGGACACGAACAAAGGCCGAGTTGAGCCGGCTGCGTGTGTGGCATGCTTTGCATAGGCCGTTTCTTCCAAGGCAGAAGTTCTTGGAGGATTGACGGTGCGTGGGGCAGTGTGGTCAGTGTACGCAATCAAGTTCGCATCGCCTTCTTTCTGTATGCGGGGATACGAAGTTGATTGACCGGAAGTGTACTTTCATCAGGCAGGCGTTGCGAAGGCGATGCGAAAGCGTCGCTCCGCCATGCGAGAGGCTCGCTCGGCGAAAAGCAGCCGTGGCCGCGACGCGAGGTGCCCGCCCTATGCGGGAGGCATGCGAGGGCCAGGGTCTGACGCACTGGCCAAAAGTCGGTCAACCCTAGAATTTCCCAGTAACACATGTGTGACTGCGCAAATTGGCAGACAACTGTAATGCGTGGGGTTTTTGTACTATGTGCTGGTGACAGTTCATCAGTCATGCATGGCAAGTGTGCCTGTGACCCGATAGGATGTGATTAGCATGCAGAGTGCAGCGATAGTAGAGCATCACCTGAAGAGAGTGTGGAGATTGTTTTTTGTGGGTGTAATGATCATCATTGAAAATCTAGCTATAGGCGGGAGTCTCGACCATCGCCTTCGGGAGACTTCGAACCGCTCGCGACCAATGTCCCAAATCCTCCTATCCCATATCCATGCAACATTTCAGAGTAGAGTAGTTTCCTGATATCTTCGTGAAGATCCCAACCGCCCCTGCGGTATATGCCAATAAAATAAAACCAAAGGATATAATGCTCAAATGCCACGCTATGCTGTAAAGGACACGCTCGCTGAAAATGCTAGATCAAAAATCAAAAGGTCAGAACACGTTGATGTGCTGGCCTAATAACTTGAGATGAGCGGAGCGGTGGTATCCATGAACAGCGGATGGTCCTCGATGTCTTGCGAGGCTGGTTTTGCGTCGTAGAAGGTTGTTGTAAGCATGGCCTCCTTGTCGGAGAAGTTGAAAGACGCTTGTGGGGGCGATGTAGGTGGTGACTCGTCATCGGACTCTTCTTCGTAGGTGAGCTCGGGTGGTGATTGTAGTTGCGATGGCACTCGAGTAAGAGCGAGCTCCGAGTCGTCCTCCATGTCGTCGTAGAATTCGTCCTCATCCTCGTCGTCGTCGACCTCCATTGTGCTGATCTGAACTGGTGACTGAGCGATGCGGCGAGGCAGGGGGATCATGTCAAAGTCGTCTTCGTTCTCAGAGTCCGAGTCGGACTCGTCGTCGTCGTCTTCCTCCTCAGCAATGCTGTCGGCCCATTGAATGTGGCGGGGCTCTTCGGACTTGGAGGCCTTGGCCATGGTCTGGTTGAACCATTGTTCTTGCTGGCGTTCGGCGTCTTGGAGCTCGACCATGAGGCTGTCGAGGAGGTTTGCGTGTCCAACGAGAAGGCGGAGGTCGTGGTCGGCCCTGCATGCCTCTTTGCCGAGCTTGGAGCGGGCGGAGGCAGCAATGTAGTAGGTTTGGGTGAGAGACATCTTCTGCTTCTTTTGCGGTGGTGAAGAGACAAAGTGGGAGCGGGTGGTCTCGGCGGTGAAGGGCTCGAAGGAGGTTTGTATGCGGAGATGCGATGAGGAAGGCATGATGTTTGTTATGTATAAGGCAGTAGTCTATGGTGAGAGGCTAAAAAATGTGAGTCAGTTTGGTTTATGACTTGGAGAGACCCGGGTGCAAACCTACCTTAAAGCAGCGGCCAATCGAGGGAAGGTGATCCGAGCGTGGGTAGAAGCCGGGAAGGTGTGATGTAATTGATGGTTTGTGGTAGCGGCGATGATGGGCAAGTCGGAGTCTGGGGTAGTCTGTTATTCGCTGTGGTGTTGTGGACTGGTGTTTGAGCTGGTGATGGAATCTGAAGCGAGGGCACGCGTGTTTCTTATGTTTCCCTGACGCATAGAGGATGGATAACGGGTTCTCGGAATTATTGGCATGTTTCCACCGCTCTTGGCCGAGCAGGGACGGATGCGGTGAGCTAACACACTATGATTCACACGACTGCAGGGGTGCTAGCGCGGCTTACGAGACAGCCCGGTCGGTCGTAGAGACTTTCGCCCGCATGCACATACGGGCGTTACGAAGCGGACACCGGACGTTGCGCGGATATACAGTCTGCCCAGCACATGCTCTGCACATGGCTAGCCTAATCGGCGTCTCGCTGTTTGTCGGCGTTTACTAACTCACGATGAATTGCATCACACATGTCGCTCCCACATCGCGCCATCAGGGTTTTCCTTTTTTCTTTGCACTGACTGCTTGGGCTGATTGAGCCTGTCTGGCTGGCTGCCTGGCTGCCTGCGCTGCTAGGATGCGCTGTCGTAAGGGCTAAGCCACGGACCTCTGTACAAGCAGAGCGGTCAGCCCTGAATCTGTGGCTGTCAAACGTGGCCCCGTCACCCTCTCGCCCAAGGCGCCTCTGTTGCACCTTGACAGCGCGCGCAACCCTGTCGGGCCCGACGCTGCACAATCCCTCCGCGCGACAAAATCACCGTTAGGCTTACTGCGAATTGTTTGCGTTTTCCTACATAGTCCTCGCCTCGGCCGATGTGCTGCAACCTTGGTTTCGCGGCTGCCTAGCACATCGGCGTTTGGCTATCCTCACGTCTTTCGTCCGCATCGTCAAAAGCCACCATCTAGGCCACGCGGACCTGCCACTCACTCTCACCCCCGCGCCCAAGCACATCATCATCAAAGACAAGGCACCAATCACGCCTGGGCTCCGACACTGTCATTTGTCCCGACCTCACAATTACAGAATTACTAACTCCCATCTGCACCCCGGCTGCCATTGGTATGCGGGCTGGCTTTGTCATTGATGCTGAAAAATACCTTCTGACAAACCCGCTAACGACCCTGCATGAACCAGTGTAATTTGATGACACGATCATGCGCTTTCTTCGCAATCGCGTGCTCAGTAGCAGACAGCCTGCGATTAGGCTATTTGCGCACTCGTCATCGTCTTCAATTCATTACTTTTGCGCTTCTACAGCCCGACTGTCCAATGTCCTGAGCTTTTGGCATCTGTGCGTCAAGTGTCAGGCACAAACAAAAAAACGGTGAACAGTGCGTCCGTACCATCCGTCTCCGCTCCGCCCTTTCCCACTACACCGGCTCCGGCGAGGGCGTGCTTCCAGGACGAACGATCCCGAAAGAGGAAAGCACAGCTTGTGGCGCTTTCAGCCGTCGCTTCGTATACCGGATTGCGATTACCGAGTCTCTCATCTCCATGCGCACAGCCCTTTTGTGCCATTGAGTAGTGCGGCTCGCATGGGTCCAGTCTAACCGTACGACTCGCTTCGACACGTATCCGTTGGCCTGACTTCACCGCTGAAGCTGTACGAGGCTGATCAGGAGACCGCTAACCGCCAAATCCAAGAACTCGCATATATGCATGCTGCGGCACCATAGCAACGCAATGCTGCGATGCGACTTCACGTCGCTTTCTGACCAAGTATGAGTCGACTATGCCAAGTGCACGATGCGGTCCTTGGAAGCCTGAGCCACCACATGTTTACGAACACCAGAACCCCGCGTCAACAGCTCTACACCGAGATGCGCTATTGTGCCCGCCGCACGCGCATCGCTTCTTTGCTGGCATGCGGCGAGTGGGTCAGCGTTTGCTCCGCCCACCTCACGTCCTCTTCACCACGTTCAGTCTAACGTCGGTACCAGTCTTCGCCATTGCGTTACCGCTTTAGGTATTTCATCAGATTGCGGCATATTCTAACAACCAAGTGAGGATCTTCAAGCGAGCGACCAGCCCCCGTCTCCAAGTAAAATCACGCAAGCGAATCTCTAGTAGGATACTCTCTAAGCCATCAAATCGCTCAACCCGCAACTGGCCACGTCTGCCGCCGACGAAAGCATTTCTCCAATCCAAAAATGATATGCATTCTCCATTGCATTCCGACTCCTGCTATGGATTCTTTCCAGTCGACGGTCTGTCCGGATATCAATTCGGGTCCAGGCCATGTTTCTAAGCAGATAGCTGCGCTACTACGTGCATCACTAAGCACCATTTCCACAACTATTGGTTACCAACACATACACATCTACCGATATTTCAACACTCATGTAAGTCTCAGCGGTATCTATATGACGCAGCAATCGTACGAAGAGCGCACACCTAGAGCAGCTCAATCATAATCGCATCAGCGGGACAAAAATCCACAGGAGGCATTTGCCAATGAAGATGCGAGACGCCATGAAGAGGCTTCAGGTTTCCGGCTGACAGATCGGGAAGTCAGGAAGTCTATCTGCTTTCAACTCGAACCCAAGTTTGAGCGCACGCTACTGGCTCGCACCTCCGCCTTTGTAAGACAACGCTAAACAGTATTTGTGATGGACGGTCCAATCCTAGTATGATCAATACTAGTCAAAGACTCGCAACTGGGAAATTGTCGACGATGCGCGAAGAGCGTAGAGTACTGTAAACTCGTGCTCGATGAACCCCCATCTCCAATGCTGGTCAGCTTGTTCCTGGTCTAAACGGGAAACCACTCAAGAGTAACTCGCACGAAAGAAAACGTAGAGAGCAAGGATCCAGCCTGTCTTTGCGTTGTGAATATCAGTCAAGAAGCCATTCCGCTGATGGCACATGCAATGCTTCCACGTTAGTGCATCTAGTTGATTTGTGTATTTGGTGGAAGCACATGCCATTATCAGATTGTCAGTACCAATCTGCCAACGCGCTTACGAAGAAAGCGAGTGCATAATCTACCCTCCTTACATGCGGACAAGACGAGTCAGCTAAGAAGGACCTTGCCCTTGGAGAAGAACCTGTAAAGTGTACATGATGATGTTTCTCAGAGATCTAAATGTGAGAATACGCGACTGTATGTTACTCTGAGGCAGCGCACTAGTCACTACATGCATCCCATTTTGTTAGAGTTAGCGCCTTCCGACTTGACTCGTATCGCCTAGCCTCTCTCTGTCACCCAAAAAAAAAAAAGGATTTCGAGCAAAATAAAACGTTGCAAACTTCAAAAACATCGACGTTTGCCCGCTCACGGAATCGAACCGTGGATCTTCGCATATCGGACATATGCTGCGTACGAGTGCGACGCAGTACCACTGTGCTAAGCGGGCAATTTGGATGATGAAATCTAAAATTGGCTAATTCATAATTACGAAGAATTGACAAAAGAATCAATGCCATGGTAACATGATCACATCGGTGGGGGACGATGTTCTGGTGGGGTCAGGTACCGTTGAGCCGAGATCTGTGGATGGACTCGCTACTAATGCTGGTCTTGGTATGGCGTGTCGGATACCACAACACAACCTACGAATGACCGCGGACGGCAGGAACAACTCGCCAGGATACAGAAAGCATGTCTCACAACGTTGCTGTATGTTCGTTAGGTGGGCACAGAAGCAGTCATGTCCGTTCATATGGGCTTCTGATTTTGGTGAATGAGATTGATGTGTAGAGATGATAGAGCCGACATTGTACAAAGCGAAGAAGCGTGGTTGAAGTTTGCTGCCATTGTCCTATTCTTCTTGTTTGGTAGCATAGTTCTTCATGCGCCTACCCGATGACTTACGTGCCTCACACTAGGTGTCTAGCATCATCTCGAGTGTCACCTTATACAGCCAGTTCAAGTAAAATATCTCCATGTCGTAGTATTCTGTGAAAACTATATTACACGACGGCAGCCCCCTATGCTGATGCCGTTTGCGGCTTCCCAATGAGCGCCAAAATATTACTAAACAAACCCTGCGGTGGGGGAGGGACAGAACCGTCATGCAGCACGTTCTGCAAATCCTGCATGCTGAAGACCTGCTCGTCACGCTCAATATCTTGAGTGAGATCATCGGAAACCAACAGTTTCGCCAAAGGCTTGCCAGAGTCGTCTTCCTCGCTATCCTCAGGGTAGGAGATGTGATGCATTTCGAGTTGCTCCTCTGGTGGAGGAGTCAGCAGCTGCAACGACCCAGCACTTGGGGTGATGGTCCTGAAGTACGCCTTTGAGTCAAGAACAACGTAACCGCTTTTCTGAGATGCAAGACCCATGGTAATACTAGAATATGTGTCTTTCCAAATGGGCTTTTGATGCTCTGGTCCGTATATAAACATCCTGGACGAAACCTTCTTAGTGGGGGTAGGTGTGGATTCGTTCTTCTCGAACCGAGGTAGTGATACAGCGAATGTACCGTCAGTGCTGTTGCAAGCTAGTCGAACGAGCGGTGCGCGCTCTAGGCGTCCGATGCCGGGAGTATCGATTGGTATGCTGTATGCAAGTCCGTCAGAGACCATATCCCAGACGGTGATGGCATCAGCAACCACTATAAGATATTGCCCGACGAAACCAAGTCCAGAGAGGGCCGTTACATCGATCTCAGTGAGCGATCGTCGAACTGTTGCAGATTGAACATCGATCAGATGTGTGACACCGGCGTCTTCTTCCAAATCCCAAGAGATTGAAGCAGCAAGGACCGAGCCATCGGATGAAAAGGCCAATCGTGAAGTGCGCGGCGGTAAGGTACGCTGTGAACCTTCGGTGATGTCGAGCTTGTCGTTGATTTCAATTGACCGGTCGAGCGACCAGGTGACCAGACCTTCCTGTTGGGCCCCACGAACGATGACTCCATCGCGTGATCGTGTCTTAGGTCTCCATATCCGTACGACGTGATCTTCGCCGACAGTTGCGAAGCCCGCAGCAGCCGGATCAGCGACAAGATGGAATACTCGCCCATTACCACATACGTCTTCGAAGAAGTGTGGTGCGTCAATGCGTGTTTCCAACTTCCATTGCGCGCTGCTTTTGTCGCGTCGCCAGACCTTGAGATACACCTCGCGGCGGCGCAGGCGTTCCTGTTCATTGAACTCTGGAATACCTTCATTCACATAACGAGTGTCCAGTTGTGACGGTACCCACTGCAATAGGCACAAAGTCAGTGTATGTCTTACATGCATCTCAGATAGTCAGAACTTACCTCATCAATTGTCGCAAGCCATTCTCCGTCATGGCTGACTTGGATATGCGTAACTGTAGGCTCCTTGATTTGGCGTCCATCAGGGGCGACATTGGGCTCCGTCGCATTGTTGCGGGTGAGCGCCTGTCGCCCTTTTGCGCGATCATTCGCAAGGTCAAATGTCTGTAGGTATGGCTCAGGTCTGAAACCCTCGTCCTTCTTGTTGTGACGAGGTTGTGACGATGGTACAGCGAAGAACACTTCGGTCGAGTTGGCCGGGTTGACAGCCATGGGCACTGCATCAAAGATGCCAAACGTGTTGTCACCATCCCTAGACAGCTGTTCGACGTCGATTCGACGTGATTGGATACCGATGATGTTTGTGCGGGCCTCGAGCTCGGTGGTAGACAGAACAATGACAGAATTGTTAGCCAACGTCAACGCATACGCTGAGCCCGTGGGAGAAACCACAACGTTCTCAATAGCCGCGGAAAGATGGGGTAGATGCTGTGGTTGTCCAGTAGCAAGCTGCCACATCGTGAGGACTGTCTCATCACCTCCCGAGATAAGGTAGTTGCCATCCAACGACCATTTGACAGACCCTATCGCATCTCTATGCCAATGGAGTCTCTTGGGCCTGAAGCTTTCGGCATTGCCTTTCTCAACTGCAGCAAAAGAAGCCAGAATGTCTTCGAAAAGAAGGATCACACCGGTTTCTTCTCCAACAGCAATGTCAAGAACATCCCTTTGACTTTGTGGAGTCTTGTTTCCGTTGTCATTCTCTTGATGCTCGCGGTGATAGACGTTAAAGGTCGTGATGTGCTTCGAGAATTTGAATTCCCGCCAGACGTACTCCAAGTCCTCGAATGCTGTCTTGCTAGCCTTCGTGCGCTTTCCGACCACGAGAGAGTCAGATGTAGCAACCACGACGTACTTGCCTTGCATAAGTACCTGGACACCGCGGATTGCAGAGCTCGCACTGCTCAGTATTTGCTTGACTTGCTTGAGTTCTGTCCGGGTATCTTGACGCTTCGTACGAAGTGCGTGCACACTGATGGTGTGTCCCTCATCAGTTTCATGACAATATGTAAGATCATCCTCGGAGGAGTCTGACTGCGCAATGACTGTCATGTGGCGGACTGTAGCACCAATGTTCCATCGACCAGCTTTCTTGCCAGCCACCCAGTTCCACAGTATTATGTGCCCAATTGAGTATGCGACGTACACGAGGTGGGGGTTCGTGGGTGATAGAGCATAAGCTGTGAGGGCGCCTGTGTCGTCTTCGGAAAGTGTATTGGCGAGCAACGATGTTTCGGTTGCATAGACACGAAGTGACTTGGCGTTGGCGATGAGCAGGTATTTCTCGTCGGGCGAGAAGACAGGGTCGGCTGGTAGGAACCATCCTCCATGAGCGGGTGACGAAGCCCACCTATCAGTCTTCTTGCTCTTCTTCTTTTTGACTATACCTGATACCTCGGCCTCGATCAGTTCGTTGCGCTCTTGTCTGTTCCTTTCCTTTCTGTCCTTCTTTTCCTGCTTCTTGAGAGCTGCCTTTGATAATCCTGACATGTCCAGTGCTCCGTTGACTTCAGCCGGCGCATCTTTGCTCGCACCATTCGTTTTCGGGGTAGACGTCGATCGCTTCTTTGGCGTAGACGCATTCGACTTGGGCGTTGCACCGGTTGCGCCATTTGAAGATTCGTCGTTGCGACCATCGTTGAGCGCAGCGGCAGCGGCAGCCTCGTTCTTCCTCTGCTTCTTGGCCCTCTTCTGTGCTGCAGCCTCCTCGGCCTTCCTCTTCAATTGGGGAGTCGCGTCCTCCATCCTAACTGAGTCTCGAGTGGACTTGCGTGTAAGAATCCGCAAAGGTGGAAGTCGTGAAGTTCGTGTAGCATCGACATGTCGAAGTTGAACTTTTTCGATGGAGCCTGGCCCGAGCTTTTCACCGCCCGCGTCCTTAGCGCGCCCGCAACTTTCTTTGAGACAGCGTCCACCAACGTCCGGCATCACGACAACCTCACCTTACCTTTGCGCGCTTCCGTAGCTATCAGACCGTGATCGCGTGTCCTCCTAAACAACACGAATACCCTCGAATCACCAAGATGATTGTTCCCATCCGTTGCTTTTCGTGCGGCAAGGTACTACAACTACATTCTAGCTCATGCGCGCCCTTGCTCACAGAGTTCCTAGGTCACGGGCGACCTGTGGGAGAAGTACATGACCATTCTCAGTGAAGGCAAAGAAGAAGCGTAAGAAACCTCGTTCATAGAAGACCCCAGCACGCCTACCTTGCAGCCAAACTCGACCTTGTTCAATACCACTACCAGTCCCGTACCGACACAAGACATTCGCTAACGTGTACCCCATCTAGTGAGGCCCTCGACGAGATCGGTCTCCAACGCTACTGCTGCCGCCGCATGATTCTTACCCACGTCGATCTCATCGAAAAGCTCCTCAAGTACGTTTCCGCCGCCGATCGCAACAAGCTGATGCGCTGCCAAAATGCAGAGATGCAGAGACACCAGCGGTAATGACGCCCCGGAAAGGAGCTAACACTTCATACAGATACAATGCTAGCGAAAGAGAACAAGCCCGCGCCGCCCGGGGAGGACGATAGTCGGCAGACGATACGGACAGGCAATTTGGAGTTTTGGAACGGCATACTTTATCATGGCGAGGCGTTTTTCGGGCGAAGCATATTGGGTTGAACTAGATCTTCTTCCATCCACGATCTGGAAGTCTGCAAAGACAGGAAATGCCTGACTATAATGAGAGTCGCTAGCCTGCGTGGACGTAGTTCCATGCGCAGGCACATGTGCAGAGTGCGGGATTACAACATCTACCTGACGGACAGAGCAAAGGAAACCCAGTTCTTGATTACTCTTAACATCCCTTACCTTCACTCCCCCAATGTTCCTCCACCCACTCCGTCATAATATCCGTGAAGCTTTTCTCGTTATCAAACGCCTCAGTATCCTCCAGCCCACGCTGCGCACCCAAGTACTCAAGCGCCAGCAATATCCATTTCTCAATGAACTGATTATACATGAGATCAACGGTTTCTGGTTCTTGGACTTTGTTTCCTGGTCGATCGAAGCCAACAGCTGACTGAATGCAGTTGGGAACATTGTAGAAGGCGATGGGCTCATGAACTGTGTCGTCGCCATCCGCACCGGCATCGTCTTTGGTGGTATAACCTGGGAAAGGTTTTGGCTCATCCATATTGCGGAGAGGTGTTTGGCCTTCATGGAGGTCGGCAAAAGCAGAGTCGAAAGATGTGAGCATGTGCGGTCGAGACCGTGCTGCTAAAACCTCTGGGGGCTGCAGGAATGCGTTGCTTTCCATCATGGCCAGCATAATAGGTCCTTCGTTGTTCAAAAGTTTGAGTACTTGGCTGGCGGCTTTGTAAGGTACGTCCTTGATATACCGGATGCCACTTGTGAACGGCGAGACTAGGAACTTCGTGTCCTTGGTGAAAGCTCCCTTGAAAATGTCAAAACGGATGGCACCGGTGTTGGTAATCACAAACGCCTTCTTGCCATTCTGGATGCGATCGGATTTCTCGATAGTCTGAGGTAGTAGCTGTTCCTCGATCCAAGTGAAGATACTCTCGTTGTGCGGGTAAGGGCGACGACTGATCCAAAGATCTTGTGGCGCACAGCCGTAGACCTTCCCAAGTCCGAGAGATTCTCTGGCTTCGCCGATCGCCTTGGAAACTTTTTTCCCATGGTCAGTTGCGAACGATTTCGCGTCCTTCCCGCTGTGGTGTTGCATCGAGTAAAGATTGTTGTCAATATATCGACGAGAGAATGTGAGCTTTGGGCTCTGGAGTGCAGGCGCTCTATCTTTCGTGCCGCGAGTACTGAGACCGTTGATAGACGCAAAGCCGAGCGTCTCCATATACCGCCCACTCTCGAGAGCAGCAGCTTTGGCGTCAAAAACCTTATAATCACGGATATGCGTATGACCTCCGAAGAACTGGATAGGCGTATCCCAGTGCAGGGAACGAATAGTAGAGAAGAGCACTGCATACTCTTCAGAACGGATATCGACGTGACCAAAGACGATGATCAGGTCGATGTCTTGATCTTTGAGGGCTTCCTTGAACCACTCTTCATGCACCGTGTCTTCGACTCTGTGAATCACAGTGTTGTTTGCATTGCCTGTAAAATCGAAGATGAATCCAAAAGCTAGGATACGTATGCCTTGGTTCTTAGTAGTGAATTTTTTGAAGCGCGGCGCGAGTGGCTCCAGCTTTCCGGTCTTGGGGTTATAGATGTCTAGATTAGAAGCCAAGTAGTTCTCTTTGAAGTCAGGAACTGTATGGAAATATTCACCCTCGGCAGTGTTTGCTTTGTAAAGTTCGTGATTCCCAGAACAGATCAGATCGATGTTTTGTTCTTTGGCAATTTCGTATGTAAATCTAGATATTGGGTTACGAAGTCAGTGTAGGTCCCATGTGTATTTAATGCAGGGCCCCACTAACTTTCCTCGAGGCTTAGAGGAATCGTAGATAGCGTTTCCCTCTACTCTGTCTCCGGTGTCTACAAGAAGAAAGTCCGACCCATCCGCGTCTGCTTTGTCACGCATGTGCTGAGCAAATGAGACATAGTCGCCCCAATCGGACGAAAACGACGCCCTGCAGTTGGTCAGATCGACGTGTGTCAACATAGTAAACTTCAGCTGAAGGCGTTTTTCGGTAACCTACTCTTGTAGATGGCCTCCCCACCACCCATGGATATCAGTAGTATGCAGGAAGTTAAGTTGCGCCCAAGGTAGATCACGCAGGGGAGCCGCTTTAGGAGACGGCGCCTCAGGTTGGACGCAGTAAATCCCTTTCAGAAGCGCAGAAAGAACAATAGATTTGTGAAACATGTTGAAAGGCAAGATGCTGTGCTACTCGCCCCTTTCGCGAACTGCGGTTGTATCAGGCGACCATCTAGGTACTGGGCAATGGCTGGACGAATTTCGATGACGAACGACAGGGACTGGGATGCAATACGTTAAAGCAATGTGTAAAAGCACGAGAAGGCGTTGCAGTGTTGATGAGGCAGATGAGGCAGATGATGCTAGATGTTGTGAGTGTCGGACGGTCAACAGTTGATGGTCAGCCAATCAGGCAGTGACGTACGCGATGAATGGTTGACGGGCCGTGGCTGCAGCGAGCTGGTCCATGTAAAGTCTAGCGCCGTGCTTGCCAAATACAGTTCAACATTTTTCTATATACGACAACACCAGCCACCTCACAACAACTTTCCACCCAAACACTTTTTACGCGCATCAACTCTCGTTCGTGTCGCGCAAAATGGCTAGAGCTTCCCGTTCTGCGAGCGCAAAGCCCGCCGAGAAGAAAGATGCCAAAGAGGTCAAAGTAAACGGCGCCGGTACGTCACGCCCACCCAAGGAAATCAGGCCACCGCTAACCAACCTCGCAGTCCCACGAAGAGGCGCAAAGAAGACCGAAGACGCGCCTGTTGCCAATGGCATAGCCGAGGAGGTTGAAGACGCTGAAGACGTCGAAATGGCTGATGAAGACGCCGAGGAAGTCAAGGCAGCACCACAGAAGCGTAAGGTCAACGCGTCCAAAGTAGGGCTATCTGCTAAGACGGGTTTAGCTACTGGACGCAGTCGCGCAAAGAAGACCGAAACTCCCGCGCCTGAACCCAAAGCCGCGCCTAAGAAGACGACAAAGCGCAAGAAGGACGAAGAAAGCGAACCCGAGGTCGAAGACGCGCCTGCGCCCGCTGTGAAGAAGCCAAAGGTCGAGCGCGCAAAGGCTGCACCCAAAGCTGCACCAAAAGCCGCGTCAAAGGCTGCAACACCAGAGCCAGAGGCCGAGAAGATCGATCCGGCTCTGGTTCCAAATCCCAAGGGCCCGCGCCGCGCCAAGGGCAAGAAGACAGAGATCAACTCGATCCGCTACACTGAACCTTTGAAGGTATTCGTCTTCGGCGAAGGTTCCTCTGGTGAGCTCGGCCTTGGCGCTACAAGCAAGGCCATCGACGTGAAGCGACCGCGTTACAACGAGACTCTGTCCAACATGAATGTCGTCAAGATTGCTACTGGTGGCATGCACGTTGTTGCACTAACCAAAGACAACCAAATCCTGACATGGGGTGTTAACGACAACGACGCCCTCGGGCGCGACACATCGAACGCCAACGTCAAGATGCGCGATCTCGATGCGGACGACTCCGATTCTGATTCTGAAGACGAGACTGGTGGCTTGAACGATGCCGAGGCTACACCTGCGCCTGTGCCGGCCGAGTTTTTCCCTGAAGACACCACCTTCGTCGATGTCGCTGCCGGTGATAGCTGCTCTTTTGCCCTTACTACCGAGGGCGCTGTTTACGGATGGGGCACGTTCCGAAAGAACGAAGGCATCATGGGATTCGCAACCGACAACAAGACGGCACCTCGGCCTGTCTATATTGACGGCGTAAAGAAGGTTACTCAGATCGTGTGCGGTACCAACCACGTCTACGCACTTGACAAGGACCACCATGTATGGGCTTGGGGCAATGGCCAGCAAAACCAGCTTGGTCGCCGCGTTACCGAACGCAACCTCGTCCAAGCTTTGCAGCCGAGCAAGGTTGGTTTCCACGATACCTCTATCAAAAAGCACAGCCAACGCATCACGCACATCGCATCCGGTGACTATCACGGTCTTGCAATCGCAGATGACGGGCATGTCTGGGGTTGGGGTGCGAACAATTACTGCGAAACTGGTTACACCGAGAATGCTGGTGCAGACGATGCCAGCGTCCTACAACCCAAAATTGTACACAGCTTGGAGGGCAAAGGCGTTCATACGCTTGACGCAGGCTCGCATCACAACCTAGCCATTACCAAGGATGGACAAGTGCTCGTCTGGGGTCGCTGCGATGGTTCACAGACCGGTCTCCCTCCTTCCCAACTTGACGCAGAGACGGATGAGAGCAAGGTATTGAAGAACAACGGCAAGGCGAAAATTGTTGTACAGCCGACACCCCTTCCTGACCTCAAGAACATTGTCACCGGCGCATGCGGCCCTGAACACTCTATCGTCATTGACGAGGCCGGCAAGGCCTACTCATGGGGTTTCTCAGTGAACTTCCAGACGGGTCAGGGCACTGATGACGAGATCGAGGTCCCGACTATGATCGACAATACTGCTGTGCGAGAGACAAAGCTTGTATGGGCTGGTTGCGGTGGTCAGTACAGTATCTTGGCAAGCAAGAAGGAGTAGGCCACTCAGGCTGTATCTCCATGGTGTAGAGAATTCCGATGGCGGCAACCTTCTATGAGCTTACTTTCTTCCATTTCCTGATATTTAGTCTGGCCTCACCTTTGAGGCTTTCAGACAAGCATTCACGGCGTTCAAGTTCCTCTCGGGTATCTTTTGCATAGCGGATATCTGATTCGGTACACGGGGTTATCATACGTATTCATTCATTACGTGGCTGAGCGGTAGGCCAAAACACACGACATGGCTATTATTAGAGGGCGTAGACTGGGCGGTAGGCTCAGTCGTGCTTGTGATCAACTTGTAATAGTACGATGCTATGCTATTTATATCTTTTGCGCGTATGCAGTGGTGCTTTTCTATGCGAGTTGTACTTTCAATTACAATGCGGTGAAATGAAATGGAAGACTGATGCCGTGGAATATGCAGGGCTCATGCGCAGTCGCAGCTTCAGATGCCTTACATAATCAAACCGTGATGACGCTCGACCCTGCCGACCAAAAATCACCATCACCGAAGCGCATCGATACTACACCCACGACACTACTCCACCACTACCGCAACCTCTATATATCGTACGAACCCCGCGAAACAGAAGCCGTGTGTTCCCAATATTGACGAATTTCGCAGCTTCACGCTCACCACCGCAACAATGCCACCCAAGCAAATGGCAGGCAAGGGCCGTACTCTCAACGAGCCCAGCTTCGCGTCTAGCACTATTTCGGCCTTTACAAGCAAGGAGAACAGGAGTATTGTTACTGCTGCGGGGATGTTTGCTGTAAGATACTCTATGCGATGGCAGATATCGGAGGGGCGATAGAACACGATTTACAAGATGGAGAATTGAACAAAAGATGAGCGCTGACGACGGTGTACAGATCGGTGTAACATTCTTGCACAGCAGCTGGGCCGAAATCCTACTCCCCGCGTAAACCCAAATCCATCACAAAGGGACAATGCGCCGGCGCTGTGACAGCGAGGCGGCAAATGCGAGCAGCCATCGCAGGGCAATGGACGAACCTTGACGCCATGTACAAAGAAGGAAATTTCATCTTGGGAAGAGCATTGAGAAGGGCGTTCAGGCACGGATAGCATACTCAATGGTGTGAAAGCAGGGTCAAAATGCGACCTACAACCGGGGTCATTCGACGATCTTGCAACGAAATGTACAACAATTCCGATTTTTTTCCTCCGAAGCAATCTCAACTAGATTTTTTGATAACTAGTCTCATTTCATACCCCTCTCGACGTCATCCCAGGACATATGGTAATCTGAAACACCATGCGCCTCACCTGTATCGACGCGTATGACGGTTCTGTAACCCACATGGCTGGAACACACCAAGCACTGTCTTGCTGTCACAGAAATGCTTAGCTATAGACATTACGGATCAAGTCGCCCTATGAGTTTCTTCTTCTTCTTCTTTTTCCCTCTTCCGAGACACAGTCTGAGCTTGACCACAGTTTCACGTCGCCTCCTTGGTTTGTTCAGCTTCATTTACCACCATCGTTCGTGTCAGCTATGGCGCGCGTCGAGTGTCGAGTTGGAACTCCTGCGGGCTGGTGCGAGCATAGTGTGAGCTCTTGGGGGAGCATTTCTTTTTCCACGAGGCAAAAGCTGGGCAAGCGGATCTGAGATCAACCGTCCGGATTGCTCCGGCGAATTCCTATCGGGCGCGTAACTGGCGTATGAGAAGTATACGCGTGGCGTGTTCAGATACGTCCTGATCGAGCTGTTGGCGGATGGTATCGTTTGGCTATCGTGAAGTGTGCCTTGGCGCTCGGAAGTTGTCTGTTGGCATTCTAAGCGCCAGTCAGTTGGACAAAGCAGCCTGTGTTGGTTTTGGAGCAGTTTGTAAAGTCCAATAGCAACGTTGATTCGTACTCGGCATATTGCTTTCATACGGTACGGTGGCGTCAAGAATCAATTAGCATGCTGCGCAGCAGAGTAACTCAATTGTTAGTCTGCGAACCTGGTTGTTGGTACTTCGACGCGCCGGTGGCGCATGCAGAAGGCCTTACTGTATGCGATCATCTACTGCAGGTACTCTGCATACTGATAATGCACATGGTTCAAGGAACATCACATAGCTAAGAAAACAACCATTCGTGGTAGCTATTCATTCGTAAGATTCGATTACGCTATCTGTACATGCAAAGCCGACTCTGAATAGCGGATCAACAGTCCGGCTGTGAAAGAGAGTGTACAAGGGTTTATGCATGCCCACAAAAACCAGCAATTATGCTCGCTACAATTACAGCAAAATTGGGCGCTATCAAATCAAAGACGCCGGAGCAATTGATAGGCGTCCGAAGAGGTAATAAGGAAATGTTATGTCGTTCGTAAATATGCGTGATGCTGGGGTATCTCTAGTCTATACTTCTCTAACCCAAACCTGGTAAAATAGTCAGTGTATGGTCTTAAAGCTGTTTGTCTTACGAAACTTACCTCCATCTTCGCCATATCGCTGCCTTCCTTTCTAGCAACGCTCTTCGCCGTCTGAATGGCCATGTCAAGATCATCTTGGTCGGCCATGGTGATCATGTCGCCATCATCTTTGAACTCCACCTTGAATTTATTTCGCACACCAAACTTCTCGCGAATCTGTTGCCAGAATTCGGTAATCAGTTGATCCGAGTTGATGAAAACATAACGCGTGTCACTAGAGTGAACCTTGACTCTGATCTTACTACCTGCACCGCGGTTGCTACCACCCGATCTGGTGGAGCGAGCGGGTGATCGTCTCCTAGATTTCGAGCGGGACATCATCTCAAACTCAGCATCATCAAGATCACTACCGTCGTAGTCGTCCTCGTCCTCTTCCTCGATGTAAGCTGGCCGCCTGCTCTGTTTTGAGCGAGTATATGCGCCACGACTGGAACGGGAAGGCGGGTATGAGTCGTTGTCATAGTAGTCGTCGATGATATCGTCGTCAGACCCACGACGTCGTGGCCTGTAGTCACGATCTCGCTGGTCTCGCTGGTCCCGCTGGTCCCGTTGGTCCCGTTGGTCTCGCGGATCGCGTTGTGCTCGGTCTCGTGTTGACTCTGAGCGGCTTGGTGGTGGTCGCTCAGAGGCGGAGCGCTGCGTTGGCTGACGGCGAGGGGGCTCGTTGCTGCTTTGCTGGTCGAAAGCAGCTCGTCCGAGGTTCAGAGGCTGGGGCTTAGGACCGCCACCTCGTACGGACTGTGCGCGGCTCATCGGGGCATCGGCAGCAGGTCTTCGCTCTCCACCAGATCGCCTGTCACCAGACCTCCTGTCTGCCTCTGGTGGCGGTGTAGGTGGAAACATATTACGGTTCATCGGCGGCTCTGACTGCTGGCGGGCTCTGCTCTGAAGCTCTGGTTTGACTAGGTTGGTCGCGGCGTAGGAGATCTTGTCTTCAGTCCTATCGTCTTTTGCAGCTTGTCCTCCCTTCTTAATCTCGGCACCGGCGAAGCCAGTGAAGGCATTAGCCCGGTCTGACGCAGCGACAAGACGGGCCTTTCCGAGATAGTCTTTTGTCTTCAAGTTCTTTACCTTCGCTTCGTTGGGACGGTAGACGATACCGACGGGGATGGAGAAGACGGTGTAGCCCTCAGCTTCCTCGCGAATGGCCTCGTCAATGACATCGTGGTCAGGCACCACCTTCTCTTTGGCTGCGAAGGACAGATCCTGTAGACCTGCGTCTCTTTGCTGGAGGTAAATGTAGCAGAGACCGCGGTTGAAAAGCACCTCGCAGGAGTATAGCTTGAATTTCAGGCCCAATTGCTCGTAGTCAATGTTGTTGTTTCCGCGCAAGTAGAGGAGGGTATCGTTGAAGTTGGCGAGGGCTTCCTCAAAATCGCCCATGAGGAAGTTTGAGACGCCCTGTTGGAAGTATGCGACGGCGAGGTATTGGTCCAGACGCACAGCGCGCTGGTAACAATCTACCTGTAGAGCTATCAGCACGTGCTCGTGGCATTGGAGCCATTATCCTTGACTCACCGCCTTCTCATGCTCGCCGAGAGTGGCATGAATCACGCCGCAGTTGAACAGAATCTTGGACGTGTCGGAGATCTGGTCAAAGACCTTCAATGCGACGTCAAACTCGTTGTTGTCGTAGCTGGCGAGGGCTGCCACCCAGGTTTCGATTTCCTACCCCGCCTATCAGCAATTGGACTCGGAAGGAACAAACAGACGCAGGAAGAAGGAGCGCACCTGCTTCAGAGACATGACGAGTGATCTTCACTTGTTACCCGGCAGTATGGTGTCGTCAAGCCTCAATCTACGGCCTCTCCTAGCACTCCACCGTGGGACGAGGGGTCGCGTTCCTTGTCAAACACAAACTGCCCAAAGTGCTCGTCTCAATTCCGCCAGATTATAGAGTAGCCGCCGGGGCTTGTGGGTGTGCGCGACGTGGTGAATTATGGTGTGTAGAGGCGGTGGGTGCTGGCTATTATGGTCGTCGAGGTACACAAGTACCTGGTGTGTTGCGCGGGGAAGTAAACGATCGTACAGGTGTGGGAATTAAGGCACAGTTGGGAAGCCGTTCGAGAGAGGGAAGGAGGTTTCGAGGGCGGCACTCGGAAGAGACAGGGACACGGTGGGAATTTGGCGGGCGGTTGCAGGAGGGCTACTGGTGGGGAGACCAAATCTGAGGTCCAGCGCGTTTGAGAGACAAGCCTTGGCCGACACGGCGACCGCCACGCTGATTGGACCCCTGCACCGTGAAGCCCGAGAGCCACAGCGCTACGCGCCAGTCCAAGACGCCGCAACCCAGCCCATTGCAGCATGACACCACCGCCTCCCGATGCCCTGAGAGCCTAACCATCCTCTCCAGCGCTTCCGAAAGGACCGGAGCCTGGCTTGGTGACGCCGACTGCCAGCAGCGAATATCCGACTGCTGGCCCCCTTACGATCATCGAGTGATGGCGTTTGAGGTCTGTAACATGAAAAAGCTCCGACTGAGACAGCCACGTGACGATTCGTCCGCGCAGCCACTCACCCCATCGCCGCGCTTTTCTCAGGCATGAACGCATGACTATGCCAGGCCTCGCAAAGTCCGTGTTCGCGCAGTCCTAGTTTCGGCCTAGATTTCAAGGTGCATGCATTATCTCTCCTCACCAAACCAACACGGCATTTCGACGGCACTTGTGGACTTCTTGGGCTATCTTGGTCTGTCTTGAGCTCATAGCATCCCACGGTCGCGCTGCTCCTCTCTCTCCTGCCAGACCGTCTTTCCGGAACACGAACATACCGTCTTGTCGTCTGAACAGCCATTAGCATACACCCATCTAGAACACACGAGCCGCCAGAAGCAGAACACGTGGGGTACCAAGAGCACTCACTGTCCCAAACACCAGCGCTACGTGCAATGACACCCACTAGCGTATCCGGATCGTTCTTATCAAACTGTCCAAGGTCAGATTAGATCTCGGATCAATTAGCGGGTTTCGCATACCTTGCCGTCTTGCTCCTTTGCAACTACGATGCTGCGTCCGATCATCTCCCAGATGTGGATGGGCTTATCCAGGAACACAGATCCGACTCCACCCTTCCCTACCTGAACGGTTCCAAAGACGCCTCGACACGGCTTGCCCTCCTGTTTGGCTTTGTGATGTTCCCAGATGGCGCCGGTAGATTCAGGTCCGTCGGATATGTTGCCAGATTCGCGGATAGTTGCATGGTATGTTCCAGGCGACAATCCTCGTATACTCAGGTCAATGATGGTCATACTTGGAGCCACTTCCACCATGCGCACAAGCCCTCGAACCTTGTTCTCTACATGCGGTGCATGCGATTCTAGAATGCAAACTGCGGCGCCTGCTCTCATGTCAGAATCATAACACATCCAAACTCCTACATTCAGATGGAGCATACTGTCTGATCTTCCAGATCCTCTTAGAATTGCATCACGACCAGTAGCTTGAATAGCTTCAACGATTGCCGATGGTGCTGCTGTACCCTCGATAGATACTAGTTGATCTTTGAGGTTGGCAGTGACTTTGTTGATACCTATCTTGTTAGAAGCTGAATGACGTGCGTGGGGATCGCTCGTACCACCCAACTGCTGCAGAGAACCTTCAATGTCGTTGATGCATGACTGGCAGGTCATCGGCACCGCGAAGATGGTTTCAAACGACGGAACAGTCATCTTGAAAGGTGTAAAGTTAGCTGTAATCCTGCTTAAAGCTTTGTGCTATTGGTAGAAAGATCAAGTCGTTGGCATGCGACTTTGCCGTCTGTCGCTTTGAAATCCAGGCCCGAATCCCCGCCGAACATCCACGGACGGATCTGGCATCGGAGCTTATCTTATCGATCGATCACGTGAGGTTGGAAATGTTGGACAGCGGGCTTGGCATCAACCTTCACTGCACTGCGACCAGTCCACCAATAGCGCTTGCAGCTTCGCCTCCCTCGTTGTCGGGGAATTTCAGACTTCATACCCTCTCATAGCTTAACTAGGGTCTGCCTTCAGGGCATTGACTTCGCAGCCCGACATGTCGCAAGTGATTGGAAAGGTGTGTATTCCATCGGACCTCCGCAACCCAATATCTCTATGATCGCTGCCACTGTCTCTCTGGTGTCATGTTCTACTCTCTCTCTACTTCCAAAGCTAAAACCGTTGCATAGACCCGCCTGGCATACGCTCGCTCATGGCACCACCTCGACATCGGCTCCGACCCACGCGCGCTGGGCCGCGTCGCCTCTGCCATAGCCCTGACCCTTATGGGAAAGCACAAGCCCATCTTCGACCCCTCTACCGACTGTGGTGACTACGTCGTGGCTACGAACTGTTCTCAGTTACACACCACCGGCAAGAAGCGCTTTCAGAAACTCTACCGCACGCACACGACCCGCCCCGGCTCCCTCAAAGAACTCTCCATGGACAGGATGATGGCCAAGTGGGGAGGTGGAGAAGTGTTGAGGAAGGCCGTTAGCGGCATGTTGCCGAAGAACAGGTTACGGAAGGACAGGCTGGCGAGGTTGAAGACCTTTGAGGGGAGAGCGCATCCTTACAAAGAGAACATTCTGCAAGTGGGAAATGGTGGTGGACAGAGCATAACGGAGCATGGAGATGTTAAGAAGACATTCGCGGAAGCGAAAACACAGGCTCCCGAGGCGCCAGTATCATGACGAGGGGGTGAGCACAAAGAGGAAGAGAAGATATACCAAGAATCGGGTTTGTATAAGACATGTAAATCTAAATTGCAGGGCTTGAGCCAAGTTTTGGTTTGGTTGCTTCGTGAACTTGGTTTATTATTCCACATCTTGCTGTTGGCAATCTTAAGCGATTCCATGGTTCGTCGAACTGTGAGTGGGCATGAGATGAGTTATGTTTAATGCATTTAGGGTTTTACCAGATAGATTGATCATGCACCTTCACGTCACATGCATAGGGTGTCAAGGAAGATAGCGAGCCAAAAGTTGAATTCCTTCTACTCGCATGATAGGTGTTCTACTCTCACTCGTCCCCCCTGTATAAAAAGAAAATGTGGTATAATGTTCTACTCTCGCTCGACAATCTTCCCCTTGAAAGTCACTGGATAACCGAAAGAAATGTACAAGAAACCAAAGTGTAACGGGAACGTGCTGCTGTATCTACAGCTTCGACTTGGTGCCCTTGCGGGTGACGGTGCACTGAATGAGGCCGTTGGGGTCTGATTGAGGAGCGAAGACAGTAGCATCCTTGCCGGTGTTCTTGATGCCCTTGTGCCATGAGAGGTCTGGCATTGTGTTAGTAATCTGACGTGAGAGATCAAACTTGACGCAACTTACCAACTTCGAAGTAGTGCTTGTTGGGCAGCGCATAGTCCACAGCCTCGACCTGGGGAACAGCGGCCAAGATCAGGTCACACATTTTGTACATGGTCGCCTGTACACTGGCGCTGTCATCCTCGGCAAAGACCTTGAGGGTAATGTCCCTGGCCGCCTTCCATGCAGCGTTGAAGTCCACAGCCTTGGCCTCATCTAGGTTCTTGAACAACTTCCATTGCCAGCCAGCCTCAATCTCTGTGCTCAAAATACGGTCCCATGTCTCAGGTAGGCGCGTGTATTCATCGCGGTGGAAGCCATGGAATGCTGATCCTGTGCTCTTCAGCACAAGGAGCTTCTCAATCTTGGATCGGATAGAGACACCCTCATTCTCGCGAGTTACTGACTCGACTACGCGGGTCTCTTCACCGTCACGGAAGAAGGAGTGTGGGTGTGCTTTTCCGTCGATAGTCATGCGCGTCCATCGGTGCTGAACGATCTTGACGTGGGCGGCGTGAATATGAGGGTAGGTCTTGACAAAGTGGTCGCCAATGATGGCAGCAAATTGCTCGGGCGGGTCGATGGGGTTTTGCTTGGCGAGGATGTATGTTGTTTGCTTTTGCGTATCGGTCGCAACTACCACAGAGTTGTCTGCTTTAGTGTAGCTAGAAACTGTCAATATATGTCATGCTAATACCGCGGCGCGAAGGCGTACGAAGTCTCAATATCTCCCTCGAGTAGAACGCAGACTGTTTGCTCAACAACCTTGTGGATGCCGGTGTTGGGATCCTTATCGACCTTGTAGAGGCGGACATTGTCCTTGCCATAGCGGGCGTAACTAAGTTGAGACATGGCGAACGACGCTGTTGAGATTGCAACAATAGCCTAATGTACTTGAGATAAGGGTTGAAGATGTAGGTAGTTAGGTGGTCAATGGGAAGCAGAGGGTAAGTAGACGAAGTTATCAAAAAGGGCGATCAAAGCTAGATATACTTATGAAACGGCGCCTTATCTGATGGACGGCACGCGGAGGACACCGAACTGTATAGGAGCGGTTTGCGATTGAGGCACGAGCAAGCTATGGACCGCCGGCAAAGAGGCGGCGAGAACGCGTTTCGATTCGTTGACATGGCCATCGGCGAGCTCCGGTCGAGGGAAGAGGCCCTGGACAGCGGCGTAAGGCGTGCACGTGACAGCATCAGAACAGCTCCCCGCCTGAATCTGTAGTAGGCACAATGGGATTATGGGTCCTGAACTGTCGGCACATGGAGTTCGGCGCTGTGTCAGGCCATGATGTGGTGAGGTGCAAAGCCGTACCGGTACGTGCAGATGGAGAGACGCGAGCTCTGCTACCAGGGTAGGAGGGTAAGGAAATGTGCACGTCCCTTGTGCAGCAGCCGCTGCCCGCAACTCGAGATGGGCATTGCAGCGCGCCATGCAACATTCACTCACACTGTCATTACACCAGCTCCACACTCTCTAGCCCCTGTCACAGCCGCTCCTTCCCCGAACCTTAGCCACACTTCCGTTTTTGGCCAGGCACCGCAACGAGGACGACTCCACCTGTGCCCGCGAGTTGCTCATGAGGCAAGAGGGCATCGCCGAAAGACAGATATGCGATGCGGTTGGCGGGAACACGGTTAAGGCGCGCTCATGACGCCATCAGCTCGCTCCGTAAACACACAGGCCGACGCCGCCGACCAGAGCTCTCTTCTTGCGCCCACGACGAGTAGAGATGGCCGCTCAGCGTCGTCGGTCGGCATGGCCAGCTCGCGGGGCGGCCAGGCCTCGTATGCCTCGTATGCAACTGCCAACACAGGCCCTGGCAGCTTCAATACCGCTCTGATGCGGCCCTCGACGTCGCAAGACGGTCGAATACGCCCCGAATTCGACATGCATGCAATCACCGTCGGCGACAATGACGGCACAACCACTGAGCAGAGGCAGGCAGAGCTGCAGGACCAGATTGAGAAGGAGACCAAGATCAAGATTGGGTCCGAGAACCTGCTCGAGGCATTAAACGCCAAGAACGCAAAAGACAGCAAGAACCAGCGGTTACAGGTCGAGGAGCAGCTTAACATATCCAACAGAAAATTAGCCCAGTTGCAGTCGGGCTTGGCTGCGGAGAAGCAGAGAGCAAAAGAAGTCAAATCACCACCAGCGGACCCACAAAGCAGACTCTCATATCTGTTTCGTCGGAACCTCTCGCGCTCGCCGTCGCGGCACATCGTCCAGAAAGAAGTAGGAGAAGAGGAAGAGACCGAGTCGCCAACATTTGTTCTGGCTGAGATATTGCAGGCTCTGGAAATTCAGGGCATGCAGCCGGAATACTATGTAGAGAGAGCCAACTCTCTGGTCCTCCTATTCAAGCGACATCCTACGCTGAAGTACGACCTGGCCTGGTCAATATTCGGATTACGAATGCAAACCATGCTTCTGAGCGATAGCCGTGAAGTTGTTGCAGCGGCGTATCGAGTTATGCGCTATTCCTTCACTGATCGCAAGTCTCTCCGAATTGTACGCGCTCTTCACACAGATCATCTTGTTATCCTGTCATTAGTAAAAGAGTCTAAAGCTAGTGTGGAGCGCGAGCAAGCACTGAAGTTTGTCCGTACGTTCCTTGATGTCAAAGGAGGTGTTGAGGAAATCGCTCGCGCCGTGGTTCGTATCATCGTCGCAGTGGCTGAGCATGCAGAAGACCGACTGAGGAACATTGCAACGCTGACTCTAGCCGAAATCCTTGTCCGAAAGCCATCTCTCCTCGTGGCAGCCGGAGGCATGGGCGCTCTGGCTGATGCTCTGGGAGAAGGAAGCTACCACGCCGCTGAGAGTGTTGGTACTTCGTTTCTCTACCTGCTGGACACCCCTAGGAGACGTCGCTTTCTACGATCTGGGCGCGAATTGGAAGCGCCCTTTGCCATGTTCACCGATGCAAACACAACTCATGGGCATTTGCACGAAGAGAAGTTGAAGGTTAATGCCAAGGTCATTGCATCCTTGCTCCGCAGCTGGCCTGGACTGCTCACACTATCTATGAACGACTTTCTTCCCCTCCGATCCCTGCTTTGGTCCTTACAAATCCCCACTCCCCATGTTCGGAACATCATCTTGGAACTACTATTTGACCTCCTCAGGATCAAACCTCCCTCTTGGTCTTCGTCTTTCCTTGCTGGACGACGATTGACTACGTATGGTCGCGTCACAAATCTGAAGAATCAGCAGATCAAAGATGCTTCAGCTTCCAACAGCGCTGAGGATGATACCACCAAGTGGAGTCTACTAGACCATTACGTTTCCGTAGTTTTGGCAGCATTTCTGCACGCTGGGTTGATGCCAGCACTACTACAAGCTGAAGAAGATTCTTTGACATTGCCATTAAAGCGTAAGACGACATTGCTGATTGGCGAAGTTTTGAAGATGGCGAACGAGTTGCTGCCCCCATCATGGAGCGCGCAGCTTCAGGTACTCCCACAGCTTCTTCATTCAGCAGCGCGGTTCGACTCCGAAGACCGCTTTGTCGCGATTGGTACCATATATCAAGTGGACAGCATCAACAGAACTCTATATCGATCCGGACCTACATCTTTGTACAATCCTAAAAGTACTGCGATGTCTGACAGTACCTCGACAACCAGACAAAGTGACCATGCGGCAAAGTTGCAAGCCGCTATGCAGGTGGATGAGGCTCAATTTCGCAATTTGATGGTCGAGACTCAAGTATTGAACACGGTCACGTTCACAAAATGGAAGTGGGATCTCATTTTGAATATCATCGAAGGTCCACTACTCAATCCTAAACGCCTAGACGAGGCTATCAAAGTAACCAAGTTCATACATCGCGTCTTAGGTTTCTATCGACCATTTAAGTATCGTTTCTCCGAGATCAAAAACACCAAACCAAACCAACGATACGTACGAGCCGGGTGCGCCTTGATGCAGAGCCTTCTACAAAACCCCGAAGGTGTCAAATACTTGGCCGAGAGTAAATTTATCCGTCAGCTTGCCGAGTGCTTATCGCATTTCGATCGAATGAGCGGTCTGACCTCTGAATCACCCATATTCCAGACGGACCGTATGAATGAGACGCTTACTGGTGGCTACTTTGCGCTCTTGGGTGCTCTAACTAAAGACGCCCGAGGTATCCATATTTTGGAAAGATGGAGAGTGATCAACATGTTCTACCATATCGTCGAGCTCAATGATCGCGACGATTTGATCCGGACTCTTCTGAGTAACATGGACTACACCTTAGACGGTCATCTACGCCTCATCATCTCTAAAGCGATGACATCATGCTCTAAGGAGATTAGAATATTCGCAACTAGGTTGTTGCGCAAATATGCAACAAAGCCCATGGGGGCGAGCAGCTCTACAGGTGTAGC